AAGTGAGTAAATGCCAACCGAGCTTTCTGTATGCGAGCTGACACTTCGTCCGTGATACGTCCACTGGATGAGATGTAGCTGCCCAAATAACAAAACTTGTCCACCTGTTCTATTAATTCCCCAGTCGGAACCAGACTGGGTGCTGGACCAACCCAATCTTGTAGTAACATTTTACACTTTGAAAGTGCAAAACGCATACCGAACATGGCTACACCAGCACTCAAACTTTCCAGAAAACCTTGTAACTTACCTGGATCTTCACTTAGTATCACAATGTCGTCTGCATACTGTAGATCAGACAGTCTGCCACCTGGGAGTAAATCGATGCCACTATCCTCGCACGAGGATAGGGCTGTTTCTATAATCAGATCTATAACAAAGTTAAATGGAAAAGGGGTGTATGGGGTACCCGGTAGGAGTAGCACCTCTGACTCGGAGGGCTGTCGACCTCTTTGGGGCATCCCCCATTCTTTGGTCTCCACCGGGTGGTCAGCTCTCACCCGTGGCTCCCAGAAGCTGTTTGAATGCAACAGCGGCAACACCCCGGTAAACCGCCCGACAGGCGGGCCAAACCGGGTAACCGGGATCTCAACTCCCGGCAAGTCCGTGTCTAACGTACGTGTTGTGTTGACGAAGTCGGTTTCATGACTCAGCAGCCGAGACAATGATTCCGTACTCACCAGGGATGCATGGACTCCTGCTCAACTAGTAACTGTTAATGGCGTATGAGCTCCTTTCAGAGGGCCACCGGCAACCATGCGCTACCTTCCTGCTGCTTTGCAGTTAGCACTTGGATGTGCAAAGGCTAGAGAAACGAACTCAGCCCAAAGCCGGGTGACGCTGGGGATGTTTCCTGTACTTAACTCCTAAGAAATTTTATGGATATTCACTCAACCTGTATTGCTAATCATGCTACGGCGTTCCCGGGAAGCGACGCGCCCTGTGCTCCTCCAGTGGCTTGGGTGACAAATATGCGCGTTGGACACCTCAAACTACGCAAAACTTCTTACACTGGATGTTGGAATGTAAGAACACTCGTAGATGCCGAGAGTCAGGCACTAACAATACGCGCGCTGCATGACTATCAGCTGAATATTACATGCTTGTCAGAAGTTAGATTGGCAGGCTCCAGCTCCAAAAGTATAAAAATCCCAGGTATTCATAGCCATTACTGGCTGTATTACAGCGGCAACGAAACGTCGGGCCAACACGGAGTGGCACTTGCTTTGAGCCATCGGGCTAATAGTGCTTTAATTTCCTGGAAACCAATATCGTCTAGGACTGCAGTAGCACGATTCAAGGGGCATCCAGTAAACCTCACAGTAATCGCTGTCTACGACCAGGATGAAGTCGTCGGTACAAGCTGCTCTACATGCATTAGGCACTAGATCACGTCGCCTGAAGGACTGGATATCCGGCCACACCATCCAGTTAGCTAAAGTGTCCAGAGAGGCTTACGTAGTTCATTCCTCTGCTCATCGCGATCTCAGAAGACAAGCAACATGATCGGTCAGGAACGATAGATGCAACTACTGGAATGAAATAGCTACAAAAATGGAGACAGCAGTCAATCTGGGAAACACGGCGACCCTCTTCCGACTTATTCGATCAGCATCGGGCAAGAAACAGGTCACACACTC